AAGACATAACAGAGACTGTGTATTGCTCATGTAGCTTAAAATATTTATAGAAAGTTTGCTGACCTTGGATCAATACTATGTTTTATTTATGTACATGAATGCCAAAATCACAAATAGAATATTAGCACATACAATCTGCAGTACATTAAAGGTGTGCCATATTAAAACATTAAGGAAGATTTTTCACTATAGACACTCAAAAGGCATTAGAATAAAATTCAACATCAAATTTTTTTTTTTTTGAGACTGAGTCTCACTATGTTGCCCTCAGTAAAGTGCTGTGGCATCACATCTCACAGCAACTTCAAACCCTTGAGCTTTAGCAATTCTCTTGCCTCAGCCTCCCAAGTAGCTGGGACTACAGGCGCCTGCCACAACGCCCACTATTTTTTGGTTGTAGTTGTCATTGTTGTTTGGGAGGCCAGGGCCAGGTTCAAACCCACCAACTCTGGTGTATGTGGCCAGCACCCTAGCCACTGAACTACAGGCACCGAGCCTCAACACCAATTTTTTATTAAAAATAAAACAATAAAATATGATTACGTGAAAGAAAGTTTTCCACCCCATATTCTGTAAGAAGGACATTCTAGATGTATTACTAGTAAGTCACAATAAGGGTGTCCACTATTATTACCATTATGTAATATTTTGAACAAATTAGAAAATATAATAAAGCCTGAGTGTGGTGGCTCATGCCTGTAATCCTAGCATTCTCGGAGGCCAAGGTGGAGGATTACTTGAGCTTAGGAGTTTGAGACCAGCCTGAGTAAGAGCTAGACCTTGTCGCTACAAAAAATAGAAAAATTAGACAGGCACAGTGGTGTGCACCTGTCATTTGAGCTATTTAGGAAGCTGAGACAGGAGAATTGCTTGAGCATGACAGTTTGAGGTTGCAGTGAGCTATGAGCATGCCACTGCACTCAAGCTGAAGGGCTGAAGGTGACAGAGTGAAACTCTGTCTCAAAAAATAAAAGGAAAAAATGAAAAAATAATTATGAAACAAATTATTTGTATTAAAATTGGAAACAAAGAGATAAGACCACTATTTGCAGGCAATGTAATTGTACATCTGGCCAATCCAGTTGGAAAACAACCAACTGAAAGATTAGAAAGAGGAACTGATCTCATTTAAAATACTAACAAAAATTATAAAAATAACTAGGAGCAGATGCATTAAGAAATGCGCAATATCCACAGCCTTATAGACATAGATATGCAGATACACATATGTGTAAAATTTTGAAACAAGTTTGTGTCATATTCCTAGATAGGAAGCCACTAAAGAAGGATGGGAAGATTCAGGACTAAAGACATCAGTTCTCCCTAAGTGAATCTGTATACACACCAGTAACATGCCTCAAATATTAAGTTACCTAAAATATCCTGAGGGATGCACAGCAAACTTATATTACTGCTTGCTTCTGAGATGGGAACTGGGTGGTGTCTGTTAAACATCAGCCAGCGGAAGCTTTTTCACAGTACCTTTTTTTTTTTTTTTTTTTTTTTTGTATTTTTAGGAATTTGAGCCATGGGAATATATTATTCAAATTAAATACTTAAAAAAATTAAGGAGCTATCACATGTTTTACATGGCACTGAGAGACTGAGTAAGGAGAAGGCTGAGAATTAAATGCTGAATTTGGTAATATTGGTGATCTTAACAAGAAAAGTTTTTGGAGAATGTTGTAAAACACAGTAAATGGAGGTTTAAACAAGAATGGGTATTTCTGCATCTGGCAGGATGGTAAGATAGATATTTTGAAAGGCCTTGTCAATATGATAGAATTAGAACCCAGAAAAATTACAACAAAAAGTTTAATGCATTTCTGGGTTTCCTGAAAAGGGAAATCTCCAGTGTCCAAGAGATAAGACCTAATAAGAATCTAATGATGAGTTGAAATCAGAGAAGAGTTCATTTAGCAGAAATGAACAAATTGAGGTTGTCCAGAAAGCAAATGCTAATTTTCTCTACATTGGGGCCAAGAAGATGGGAAAGTGCAAGCTGACTGAGGGATCTGAAAATCTGGCTGAATATATCTCTAGTTGTACTCTTAGTTTTTTCTGGTTTCCAGGAGATAGAAAAAAAATGATCTCTCGAGGAAGGGATTTCCACTTCAGTCATCAGGATTTCCTCTGATTATAAGCTCCAAAAATAGGAGCTCAAAACAAAAAAATTAGCAAGCCCAAATGAGCAAGTCATTCATGAGAATCAGTGGAACAAACAGTTAAAACATGAAGGACTGCAGATTTGTATGGAAGAGTAAAGTTCAAAAATAACCAAAATATTTTAGAAGGCTAAGAAGAACTAGCTGGGGGGGGGGGGGCTTGTCCTCTTAAATGCCAATACTTGTTACACAGCTGATAATGTTCCCGGAGCCCTCTAATCGGAGACGCAGGGAAAAGAAACTGCAGATGGGATGACTGATTTGAAGGGAGGTCAAGACTAAAAAATGTGATGATATTGGTGTAAAAATAAATGGAATGGAAATAAGAGCCCAAAACCAACTCCACATTTAGGTGGAAATCAGATATGTGAGAGAAATTGGCAAAGGTGAGATTACTTAATAAACAGTATTGATAAAATTAGCTATCTATATGGGGGAAAACATGCTTTTCAGTATTATTCAGAAATCTATTTAAAAAAAACTATAGAACATAGGGCAGAGTCTGTGGCTCAAAGGAGTAGGGCACTGGCCCCATATACTGGAGGTGGTGGTGTCAAACCCAGCCCCAGCCAAAAACTGCAAAAAACAAAAACAAAACAAACAAAAAACTATAAAACATTTAGAAAATGAAATATGTTTAAAATTACATAAAATTGGGGAATATATCTGTGGTCTTGAGGTGGGAAAGAATTTCTCAGACAGCACCTAAATAAAAACTAATTTTTACTTTCAGTGAAACAACATTTTATATTCTCAAAAGAAATCCTATAATCTCAGGCAGTTTTGATCACATGATTGTTCTTTTCTCCTGCAAAGAGTCCTTCAAGCCTGGTCTTTCACTGTCTCTGAATAATACTCCCCAGTGCCTTGTCCATTATTAATATTTAAACTTATTTTTGCTTTACCTGATACTTCAAAACTACCACCATCTCTAGTCTACTCTCCATTTTACTTGTGTTCCAGTCTTTCACTTTACATAAATTCATGTTTGAACTAAAGTTTTCACCTGTGTTTTGAAGTGCTTCATAATTACTCTAGTCAATATTAATCTCTCCTTGGAATTCCCATTTCAATTGGTGGCTGAGCTATAAGAAACTTAGACTTGATCATATACTGTGACACCTAAGGCTTTTGTCCTCACCTAAAGGATCTCCTTTTTACTCTTCTTTTCATAATATATAATTGATGTGCTCACCTATTATACTAATAGTTATGTTTATTCAGAAAGCACTTCATAAGGAATATTTCACATCCTTCCTGATTCTGATTCATAGGGTGTGTAGATTCACATGGTGCCATGACAGACTATACCTGATATTTTGAATTAAATGTTTCCATATAATTCTGATGCATACTGCTTGTTGAGGGCCACCAACTATGTAACAATTCAGAGGAGTTCAAAGGCAACTGTGGATACATTAGCACCTGCTAGGAGCATAGGTTGTTGGGAGAAGTAAACAAAAATATATGATATATTTTGAAATTCAGCATTTATCAAGTACAATTTAGGTAAAGTTAATGCTTTCCAAAGTGTGTTAATGAAAAGTATACATAATGACCATGTTCAAAATTTTTTTATTTTGAGACAGAGTCTCACTTTGTTACCCTGGGCATAGTGCCATCGTGTCATAGCTCACAGCAACCTCAAACTCATGGGTGGAAGTGAACCTCTTGCCATAGCCTCTCAAATAGCTGGAAGCTACAGGCACCAGCCACAACACCGGGTTTTAAGATGAGGTCTCGCTCTCACCCAGGCTGATCTCAAACTCTTGACCTCAGGCAGTCCACCCACCTCAGCTTCCCAGAGTGTTAGGATTATAGGTATGAGCCACTCCACCTGGCCCCATGTTCAATTTTTTAAGAAAACAGTTTAAGGTGCATAATTTGGAAAAGATACATGTGCATATGTGTATGTGTGTATGTAGGGAGAGAGCAAGATGGAGAGAGAGGGAGAAAAGTGCATTTTCTGGAGCAATATGAGTACTCTAATAGAGCCAAAGATGAAAAGCAAGCTAGTTAACCATAACAATCTGTGTTAGACTCATGACTTGCTTTGGGGAATGATTATTTTACAAGATATTTATTGTGAATTTTTATAAGGTTATCTTGAAAAACTAACATACATCTTATTTTACCTGTTTGCATATTGACAATGAGCTATATCATAGATCATATGTATTATCACATATCTAATCTATTCTGTAATATTTCTTTTTCTTTTTTATTGAGATAGAGTCTCACTTTATTACCCTGGGTAGAATGCTGTGGATTATAGCTTACAGCAACCTTGAACTCTTGGGCTCAAGCAATCCTCTTGCCTCAGTTTTTCATTTTTAGTAGAGATAGGGACTCACTCTTTCTCAGGTTGAACTCAGGCAATCCACCCACCTTGACCTGCCAAAGTCCTAGGATTACAGGCATGACCCACCATCCCTGGCCCATTCTGTAATATTTATTCTTAAGATTAATGTCTCATAACATTGCTTTTTGCTCCATTTCCTGTTCATGATTTCTGTAGGGCTCACCCCATTTTTTAGTTTCTCTGTCATGCTTTGCCCTCCGTTCATTGTTACTTGTTTAATTTCCCCTTATCTTTTCAGTTTTGAGGGTCATATTTTTTAAAATTGCAAATATATGTGTGTTCATTGTTAATTTTCCTCTCATTTTTATACTACAGCAGATTTTTTTTTTTTCTGAACTAAGGATAAATATGTACTTGAGATTCTATTCCAGGAGTCTGGGCCAGAAAATAGAGAATCAGTGAAATAATATATCTCACTTACATAAGAAATATATTATAAATTTTAAAGTATTCTTAATTTTTCTCATTTCTAGAAGTCCAGAAATTAGATGACCTGATAAAGAGAAGCCAGGAAAACCAACATAAACACTTGTGGGGCACTTCACATCTCAGCAACAATACATTCTCTAAGAAGAGAGAGAAGGTTTTTGGAAAAACACTTCATCTGGATACAAACCTAGTTTCTTTAAGAAAAACACCCTGTCAGTATTATTTAAGTGGAACCAAATATGTTTCAGAATCAAGTATTAGTGATAAAAATCTGCCAAGTAAGAACTCTTATGAAATTAATATATGTGAAAAGTTGCCTTTTGATACTAAGCAAGAAACGACTCACACTGGAAATAAAGGTAATGAATATAACCAAGATGGGAAATCCTCAAATCTTAATGAACAATTAATTGAACATCAGAAGATCCAAACTTTGGGACCACCTTTGGAAGACAATGAATGTGGGAGCACCTTCCCCAAGAAGGCAGCCATTATCACACATAAGATATCTAAAACAGGAGAGATATCCTGTGATCCTAAGCAACACGGGGAAAATGTCAGTGCCATGTCATCCCCCAACGTTCACCAAGAACCTTTCCCAAGGAGGAATCACTCTGAAGTTAATAAGTGTGAGAAGTTAACTCTCCTTAAAAATCAGAAAGCTAATACAAGAGAGAAAATCCATGAACCTAATGAAAATGAGAATTTCAGCAGTAAGTCACATCCCATACATCCTCATAAAACTCACACTGGAAAGAGAACCTTTGAATGTAGTCATTGCCAGAAATCTTTTCAAAGGATACATACAAGAGAGAAACCATGTGAAAACAAATTACAACTCAGTGACTCACAGATAACTTACCCAAGAGAGAAACCTAATGAATGTGATAAAACCCCTGTGAAGTCATCCCTCAATTATCACCAGAGAACACAGTCAGAAAAGAAACTTTATGTATGCAATGACTGTAAGAAACCTTTTCGTCATAGCTCAGCCCTAAGAGTCCATCAGAGAATTCACACAGGAGAAAAACCCTATCAATGTAATGAATGTGGGAAATCTTTCTATGCAAAATCAAACTTCATTCATCATCAAAGAACTCACACAGGGGAGAAACCATATGAATGTAAAGAATGTGGGAAATCTTTCTGTGTGAAATCTAACCTAACTAAACACCAAAAAACACATACAGGGGAGAAACCTTACAAATGTAATGAATGTGGGAAAACTTTCTTCCAGAAGTCACAATTTGCTGACCATCAGCGAACACACACAGGGGAGAAACCTTATGGTTGCAATGAGTGTGGAAAATCCTTCTACTATAAGTCAGCCCTAAGTGTACATCAAGGGAAGCATACAGAAGAGAAACGCTATAAATGTACAGAGTGTGGGAAATCCTTCTGCTATAAGTCAGCCCTAATTATACATCAGGTAATTCATACAGGTAAAAAACCCTATGATTGTAATGAATGTGGGAAAGCCTTTTGTGTGAAGTCAAATCTCACTAAACATCAGAAAATTCACACAGGGGAAAAACCCTATGGGTGTAATGAGTGTGGCAAATCCTTCTCTATGAATTCAGTCCTCATTGTACATCAGAGAACTCACACAGGGGAAAAACCCTTTGGATGCAATGAATGTGAAAAGTCCTTTTACAAAAAGTCAGCCCTCACTAAACATAAGAGAACTCACACAGGGGAAAGGCCACATGAATGTAACGAATGTGGGAAGTCCTTCCACATGAAATCAACCTTAGTTATACACCAGAGAACTCACACTGGAGAGAAACCTTATAAATGTAATGATTGTGAGAAGTCATTCTATGTGAAGTCACATCTTAATATTCACCGGAGAAATCACACAGGAAAGAAACCCCATGTATGTAATGAATGTGGGAAAGCCTTTTCTATGAAGTCAAACCTCACTGATCATCAGAGAACACATTCAAAAGAGAAACCCTATGAATGTAATGGATGTCAGAAAACTTTTCGCCATAAGTCCACCTTAACTGTACATCAGAGAACTCATACAGGAGAGAGACCTTATAAATGTAATGAATGTGGGAAATCCTTTTATATGAAGTCAGCCCTCAGTCAACATCAGAGAATTCACACAGGAGAGAAACCCTATGAATGTAAAGAATGTGGGAAAACCTTCTTCCAAAAATCACATCTTACGAAACATCAGCGAACACACACAGGGGAGAAACCTTATGAATGTAACGAGTGTGGGAAAACTTTCTTCCAGAAGTCACATCTCATTGAACATCAGAGAACACACACTGGGGAGAAGCCCCACAAATGTAATAAATGTGGCAAATCCTTTTGCTATAAATCAGCCTTAACCATTCACCAGCGAACTCACACAGAAGAGAAGCCCTACAAATGTAATGAATGTGATAAGTCTTTCTGTATGAAATCACACCTCACTGTGCATCAGAGAACTCACACAGGGAAGAACCCTTTTGAATGTAATGAATGTGGGAAAACTTTTTACGTGAAGTCAAACCTCATCAATCATCAGAGAACTCACACAGGGGAGAAGCCATATGAATGTAATAGATGTGGGAAATCTTTCTGTATGAAGTCAACCCTCACAGTACATCAGCGAACACACACAGGGGAGAAACCCTATGAATGTAAAGAATGTGGGAAAACCTTCTGCAAGAAATCAACTCTGACTAGTCATCAGATAATTCACATAAGAGTGACACCCTAAATGGTAACAAATGTGGAAAGTCCTCCTGTGGGAAGTTAAACTTTTATCATATTAAGAAAACTCTTGGGGAAAACCTTATGAATGTAATAATGTGGAGATCTCCTTTTGTGTAAGTTTAGTGTTTACCTGGCATCAGAAATCACATACATGGTAGGGGCTGAAGGGCTGTCCATGAATTAAATGAAAATGGGATAATTAAGTAAGAGAACTCCAATGGGGAGTGATTTCTAAGCACATCCTGTATGATGGTATCCACCAACAAATTAAATATGGTGCATATGTCAGAGAAATTACTGGGAAAAAACGATATGATAATGCTATAAAAGCATTTGCAAAGACACAGCTTACTGTACACCAGGTAATTGATAGTGATGTGCTTTATGTATATGAATTCTTTCAAGAAAAATATAGAACCTTATGTAAGCACAGAATACTGAGGGACATCTGTCAATTTAGGAGACAGAGATACTTTTTTTCTCTAGAAATAGTGTGATAGAAGTCACGTTTCAGACATGGTACCAAATTTTGAAAATACAACAAATATATTTAATGCTAATGATAACCATTGTTGGAATGTGAAGCATTTTGGAAAACACAAATTGCAGCAGCAAGCTGACAGCATTAGATACTTAAGTACCTGAGATAAGTAAAGCTTACATATGTTAGTGGGCAACATATGTATGTTGTGTATGTTGGTTTACATAGTTCTCAGTAGGAAATATCATACTCAACATAGTTCTTAGTAGGAAATATCTCCCCCTAGCTTATGCACTGTTATGACAGATTTCCCACACTAAATGCCACCAGTGTTTCTTTGTATTTTATAGTACAATATATATTATCAGTGACATGTTTGATAATTATGAAGTACCTAGAGTTGAGAAAAGATACACAGAACTATATAGCTAGCTACTTTTTGTGTAAGAATTGAGGGAAGTGTGTGAGATGTATATATAAAATATGTGGGTGTATCCATGCATATGCATACTTTATATACATATATATAGCTTATTTTTGCAAATAAGGATAAACTACAGACTAGAAAATGAATACCTATGGAGATAGGAATGAATAGGACAGTGGGCCTAAGAATGGAGGCAAGGCTTCTTTGCATATACCTTTATATGAAGTTCAGTCTTTAATAAACAAAAATGGTTTACATACTCAAAAAGAAATGAAAGCAGATTCTGAATTTGAGAGCAAAGAAAAATCAACTTAAGTTTATATCAAATTTGTAACCACATAGAAAAAGTCATTCAAGAGACCTTCAAACATAGTATTATGACTGTACATCCTTAGTAGGATGTTTTTCAGTACAAAAACACAAAAATTCATGAATGTCACTCACTAATTTTCATGTTAGTAACATTGGTGTTATTTTTTAATCTATTTTATGTACATTGTAGGGTCAAACAAAAAGAAATTAAGTTGCCAGAAACCAAAATTTTTGGTTTAACAGATCTTCATAAAAAAATCAAAATATTTATGTAAAAGCCTCCATAATGATAAATATGAATTGAAAATACCACTCATTTAAAAAATATATACATTTCTTAGTGCTCTTCAGTGAGAGGGCCTAGAAGTAATGATACCCCATAGCAATGAGCAAATTCAGTTCCAAACACTGCCCCTAAAGCAGCTAAGACTCCTTGGAGAAATAGTTGGGTCTAACTCTGGGTCTTGAAGTGTACAAGTGAGGCTGGGTCAGAAACCAAGGAATCACTCAAAGATTAACGGGAATGTGAGAAGGGACAAAGAAGCTAGCTAGAAGGGCCATGTTTGAGGTACTCTGATGATCAAAAAGAATGACTGTAAAATTTTGAATAAACAAAAATCTGAGTCCACAGTGCTACAAGAAAGAGGCTAAAGTCATTTCTATCATTGAAGGGGACTCTTACACAAACTCCTTATTCTGTCATTTGCGGAAAAGAATTAGGTTTTCACCCTTCCCTTTTTGGTAGAAGTAGTTGTTCATCTCGATTATGGAAAACTATTTGTTATGCAGTAATGTCAGTAATAAATGCAGAAAAAATGATAGAATTTGAAAACTTGTTAATTTGCAACCCTGAGTGCATCTAAGCAATGATCATCAATGAGTGCTAAAATCACTAGATGTGAGGGAAACTTGTTAGTGCCAGAGTATCTCCCACAGATATCTTACTTACCAAAATTGGATAAAAGTACCTTAACAATGGAATGACTGCCCTACTTTAGCCAATTGATCAAATCTAACAGTAATAGTAGTGACATTACTTGATGAAATATGGTATGGAGTAGTTATGTAGTACTAGTAGTATTTTTGCCAGACTATTTAATCTGGAAATACAGGAACAACTTCAGGTGAGAAAACAAATCAGACAAATTCAGAATGTGGGTCATTTATAAGATACATGGTGTGGTCTCATGAAAAAGTCTATGTCATATTTATTTATTTATTTATTTATTTTGCAGCTTTTTGGCCAGGGCCAGGTTTGAACCCATCACCTCCAGTATATGGGGCCGGGGCCCTAATCTTTTGAGCCACAAAAGAAACAATTAAATGCAATGCATAGGCCTTGATTGAATTATAAAGATAGTTGGCCAATAAGACAGCTACATAGATATTTTGGAGGCAGTTGGAAGAATTTGTGTAATGGGCATTAGATGCCATTAAAGAATTAGACTTACTTTTCTTAAATGTGATAATTGTGGTTATAAATGTGTATTTCTAGGAGCTACATGCTGAATATGTAGAGATGAACTGTCATGATGTCTGTCACTTTGAAGTAGTTCAGGAAAAATACATAAATGAAGCAAAAAGGGCAAAAAATTAGCAAGTGTTGAACTTAGTGGTAGATACATGGGTATTCAGTGTATTTTTCTTAACTGTTCTGTTTGAAATTTTTATAATGAAAAGTTTTGGAGAAGTACCATACCACTTATCTATTCTCTTACTGTTTCTTGGCATATACAAATACTTCTGCTTGTTGTTACTATTTGCTCATCAATAAAGAAGCCAAACAATGCTTTTTAAAAAAGCATTCAGCTGTCTTGGGTTTTAGTCATATTAATAACACATTTCAGAATGTATGCAAAGGCAGGGTACACTGTTAACATAACCTTGTGTTAAGAATTAGCTGCAACTGCTAGTTTTCATTACACCCTGACAGTAAAAATAGTGCTGTATAATGAAATTACCCTTCTTTTCTACTCCTGATGTGTTTCCAAAGGGTACCTAAAGAGGTATCCTGGCATAGCCCCTGTGGTAGGATCCAGAAACTATTTGCATAACAAGGTGGCAGCTTTTGTGCCTTGATTCTTTCTATCTTGTTCAACTTGTATTTCTTTGTAGCAAGTTGGTGGGCTGCTCTCTGCTCCTTCCTTGGTGAAGAACTTTGATGTGGCCCAGTTTTCCTTTCCTTACCAGGAATTGTTTGGGTTGGGCATATGACTAAGCATGGGCTACTAGGATGTATAGAGAAGTATTTTGGGTGACTTTCAGGAAAGGTTTCAGCATTGATAAAGAGGCATGAGCAGAATGGCTTTGGCCTTCTGAATATGACCATTGGTTGCATCTCATGGTTCAGATGGAAGAGCTTGGCCAGTGATAGTACACAGTACTGAATTTATAGGTGCAGAAGTGGCTCTGTATTGGGAACATGAGGTTGTTATTTTCCTTATTGTTGGAGTTGAGATTTTTGTTACTTGGAGCATACTGCATTTCCTTGAAAGCAATTTGGAGACAAGATATTTCTTTTGAGAAAATGATTCAGCAGCTGCTTTATGCTCTGTAAATTTCCATGTAATGAGTAAATAGATACAGGGGTCTTCAAACTTTTTAAACAGGGGGCCAGTTCACTGTTCCTCAGACTATTGGAGGGCCAGACTGTGGGCCCAGGATAAGTCAGCTGCTAAGCAGGACAGGCAGCGGTGGCAAGCACACCTGGCGGGCCGGATAAATGTCCTAGGCAGGCCACATGTGGCCTGCAGGCCGTAGTTTGAGGACACCTGAATCAAATCTTCATTTGGAACTTAGTTACATATTAAGTATTTTTTATCTTCATACAAAATACCTACTTAAAAAATTAAGTGATTTTTTTTCATTGACATTTTCCCATGTTTTCTTGCTAAGATGAGAGGATCTAGGGCAGTGCTATAGCTCAGTGGGCAGGGTGCCAGTCACATACTCTGAGGCTGGTGGGTTTGAATCCAGCCCAGGCCAGCTAAAACAATGACAACCACCACCACAACAACAACAAAATAGCAGGGTGTTGAGGGGGGGGGTGCCTGTAGTCCCAGCTACTTGGGAGGCTGAGGCAAGAGCTTGAGGTTGCTGTGAGCTGTGATGCCATAGCACACTACCCAGGGCAACAGCTTGAGACTCTGTCTAAAGAAAAGAAAGAAAGGAAGAAAGATGAGAGGATCTAATTAGTTTTTCAGTGAATCAGTAATTATCCTGAGACCTTTTATCTAATTCATCTTTTTCTCCCTGATTTGAAATACTTTTATCATATACTTTATTTGTAGTGGCTTTGTCTTTTGTCTGCTCAGTGCTCTTCCCATATCCTTCTAAAAAGGGAAGCTATGACTCCGGAGCTGGAGTCCTTGAGAAACCAGTCATCTCACCCATCCTTTTGGTCCAGCTGGAATTTTCCAAGGAAGGGATTTGTTTTAAGAGAGGCCAATGAGAATTTTTATTCAAATTTTGTAATGGGAGATCATTATAGACCATATTTTGGTTTTGACCCTGGAGTTGCCAGCAGCTTGGTTTATACTGGGTTTTGACTTACTTCCAGTCTTAGTCCTGACACATAGCTTGTGAGTATAGTCTTGCATTGCTTAACAAACAGGGATGTGTTCTGAGAAATCTGTTCAGGTGATTTTGTCATTGTTTGAATAATCATGGAGTATACTTACACAAACCTAGATGGCATAGCTTACTACACACCTAAACTGTGTAGTGTGGCCTATTCCTTCTAGGCTACAAACCTGTATGGCAGGATGCTGTATTGAATACTATA